ATTAGAGCAAACTATGACCGGCAGTTAACTGTAATCAAACAACTTGCATAAATAAAATCATTTTCAGCAAACTTACGTACATATTCATACTATAAATCAACACACAAGTCTAATCATGTTGTTGCTGCAATTCATAAGAAAAGTGATGCAGATTGCAATGCTACTACCTAAAGTGTTGGGTTTTTTCTTACATTTTGATACAGTTATGAACATAAGAACATGGATGAAATCACATATATTGGAAAATGTTGTAACATGAAAACACTTTGAAGCAGATGTTCAATTCTAAAATCAACATAGCACACTTCACACATGACAACTAAAATGAATTGAAGTCAATATTGCCAACTTCATCTTGCTTAAAAGGGGTTAAGAAAGCGCTATGCATTTCTTCTTGGATTGCAATCAACGGGATGATCCAATGATAATTCTAATACTCACTACTCTTCACAACATCCACCTCCTCCATCACGTCGTTCAATTGATTGATTTCAGGTTTTTTTTGACAAGTCTCTGTTTTCTGGTCAATTTTGACTGCTTCGCATCACATTCAGTCAAGTTGTGCTTGTGAGACCACCAGTGACATCCACAGGAACGTTGAGACTACCGTGACTTGTAGATGAAAACTCCATTCCCGGAAAAAAATGAATGAAGTATTGTGGAAAGGTAAATTGCATTTGAACACTCGACTGTGAAAATCCTCCAAAAAATTGGCATATGTGATTTGATACTCTCATGCGAACAAACCTTGGACCCCATCGCAGCAGGGTTGGCAGCGGATGCGTGATTTGAACGTGCATCACCGTTATGAGGCGGAGTTCCATGTGAAACCATGACTACCAAGCACACGAACAACACAAAATCCTCAACATCTGCAAGGATTGAGTAACACCTTAAAAAATAAATAAAATATAACAAACTATAAACTCAAAAAATAAATAAACAAAATGAGCAAAAGTGATCAACTTGGACTTAAGCAAAGGAAGAGCTATGTTGAATTGATGCAAGCAGGTGTGGAGAGGGAGAGCATTGTCAAACTGCAATGCGGTGTGGAGAATGAGTCCTTGGATGAGGGCGGGGAAGAAAGCTGGAAGGGCACATGAATACGCGTGAATTTGATGAATCCGGAAAACACAAAATTTATAGAGGAAAGTATCTCGCTCTTCGCAGCACCTGATTTTCCTTCCAACTAGGATATAATGAAATGCCGCTTCGTCCCTCGTGGTAAGGAAGATAGCTGACCGATCAATGACCGATGCAGGTTCATTGCTGCTACCGATCGTGTGGCTTGACCCTTAGTTAGAATCGGCACGTGAGCAATCATTGTGTTCATTAGATATATCCGCCATGTCATTAATCCACTAGAAGTGGATTTGATGATGGAAAAGGAGCTTATCTTTGTGTATGTGTTTGAAATATATATATATATATATATAAAAAAAAAATAGTATAATCATTCAAGGTATTTTTCACCTTTGGAGTTGTGTTTCATCTTCAAATGAACTCTAATGTTATAATGTTATACTCTAATGTTCTCTTGAATTCTAATGTTATATTATTTCATCATAGTTTTGTATGTAAAAGATATGTTTATTTATGTTAAAGTTATGTATGTTTATTCTTGCTAAATAGATATCCAAGATAGATCAAAGCTCAACTAAGGGATGAGTTTTGGATGAAGAATTTAAGCAAGGCTAAGAGAATTCTTGGCATGAATATAAAGAATTATATCAAGACACAAAAGCTTTCATTGGTACAAGTTAGGTACACGCATGAAGTGCTTGCAAAATTTGACATGACAAATGCAAAGTCGATAAACAATTTCATTGACAACTCATTTCAAACTTTCAAATGCTCAATGTTTAACTAACGATGAGAGTAAAAGAACTATGTCTAGAATTCCATATGATAAGATAGGAAAAAAATCTTATGTACTTGATGACTTATACTATATCTTTATTAGTTTAGCTATATACAAAGTAAGTAGATTCAAGTCCAATTCAAATAACGTCCATCAGAAGTCGATTAGATGAGTTCTTATGTACATAAAAGGTACAAAGAATGTTGGCTTTTTGTTTGATGATAGGTAAACAATGTCAAATTCTTGATATGCTACGTAGATGCTGATTATGGCCAAAATTTAGAACAACAAAAGTCTACAACAGTATATGTCTTCACATTTGGAGGTGGATGCATTTGTTGAAGATCTATTTTGCAATAATGTGTTTCTTAATTAGCTACAAAAGAAAAATATTTAGCAACAGCGAAAGCTACAAAGGAGTCAATTTGATTTGAAAAGCTTATCACATATGAGATTAAAACAAAATATTGTAAGACTTCATTGTGATTAAAAAATTGTCATTCACCTTGGAACTAACCAAGTTATGGATGATAGCATGGTGCATGTGAATATTCAATATCATTTTTTTTACAAACAATGTCAAGAGAAGATAAATAGAGCTTGTCAAAATTAACTTTAAAGTGAATATGACAGATGTTTTTACCACAATGAGTTTTTTGGAAAGTTTTCATAAACATTGTGTTAAGTTGTAATTTTTGCATACTTAGGTAACACAAGTAGTTAGACCTCATACAAATCTAGTTTCTATATATGTTTTACTCTATCTTTTATAGGCTACGGCTTAGTTTTAGTTAATCCTTGTTTGTAAGAGGCTCTATGTTTTGAATCTTCTTCCGTGACTTCTTGCAAATAGAATATATGATAGGTGGAAATTTGAAATTTCTAGACATGAGTAAAGGAAAAATTTATAGTATTTCACTCATGCCTTGAGCTAATGAGGTTCGTCTATATAGATTGTTGTAATACGGATTTTCACTAGAGCTAGTTAGAATTTCTATTACTATAAGAGGGGCTGGTCTAAGCCCATTTTGGAACTTCTTGCTCATTTGTTCAATAACACTAAGAGAGAGAGATTGTACTCACCTAGGCTATGAAGATGAAGTACAACTTTTTGGTTATACTTTCTATTTCTACATGATGACTAGGAATAAATTTTTCTTCTTGACATAAATGTGATAATGATAAATAAATTTGATTTTTATTAGGATTTGCAATATATATTTACCAATTCCAAAGTTTTTTTATACAAGTGATAATGTAGATCACTTTGCTTCATTATAATGTAGATTTTTATAATACTTTTGGCAAAGCTTGATAATTGTACATTATTATACATCATAAGCATGTCTCAACTCTTTGTAACATACAACTTGACATTATTTTTTATCTATGTTTTTTTTATGCATTTTTATCTTTGAATTGCAAACTAATACTTGAAATCTAATCAGAATTTAATTAAATTCTAGATCAAAACCATATTCTAAATCCTGAATTTCAATAAAATGATTATCGCAAATGATGATTTATGATTTATGATTTATTTATGATATTGAAATATCAAAATTTCAATATGATTATCGCACAAATTTATTCATATAAAAATATACATCTTTTCTTCTAGATTGAAAGAATTCATCCCAAGAAAGTTGAAATCTAATAAATTATATATTTCATATACAAAAATCCTCAAGCATGTAATATTATTTAATAATTATGAATTTTTTCAAATTATTAAATCAATTATAATATTATTATATAATTATGAATTACTTATATATTATTCAAGATTCAAATCAACATCAATGATTTTTGATGTTATATACTGAACATGTGATATAAATTTAATATTCGAATTTTTTATTGCAAATTTTAGTAAAAAAATGAAATTTCAAAATGATGTTTGACATACCATAACAAATTGTCAATTTATGAAGAAAATCACTTCTTCAATTATTTTTTTGAAATGCTTAGCAGGTTTTAGAGTATATTAGTTCTCATAGTTATTGATGAGATCATTGATCAGGAATATTTGAATGTGGGATATGATTTCTTGCAGTAAAACATGTTATTTTTGTCAAGAATTATACTTAGTATTGATGAAATATATACGTAATATATATATTAGAAAAATGTATACTTGATGATTTTATTATAATAAATTGTCATCTTTTCACGGCTTGATAAAGGATTCCTTGCAATATGTGTGATAGATTAGATAAATTATCAAAATGTTTGAAATTACATTACATTTCTAATTCAGTGTAAATAAATTGCAACCCAGATTGAAATGAGCTGACTGCCATAATACTCTTGGACTATTAGACTAGAAAACTTCGATATATTCTCATAGATGTAAAATTTCGATATGGATGAGAGTCTCTCATGATGTATTTTATCATTATGATTATATATGATACTAAAACTCATCTAACTCCTTGTTTCATCAATAATTTAACGCTTACATCTCGAGTCAACCATGCAATCATTAGTGTAGAACATTTCCTGATCCACATATTTGCATCTTCAATACTCATATGTAACTATAGTATAACCTGTACCAATGCTCAATATAAACTGTAGGACATCCGGAAGTGAGAGTCTACCTACTTGTGATATCCCTATGATGGCCTTGAAGTTTGATGGAGCTATGAACAACGATTTGTCATGTTTGTGTCAAAAGTGGAGAAAAGACTTTATTACTAATCAACGTATCATTCATTATGTCTTCACACATGATTGAATAGCAATGGACGGTGTAATCCTTGATAGTACACATAATATTATGTTAGGTGATTACTCGTATAAGTTTTGATCTTGATAGTTGTACTATACTGTTGATTGCACTAGGAATTGGTTTCTATGGTATTTTTCGGCTTCTACTTTTGACCAAAAATTTCTTCGTATATATAATGTTTGACATATTATTACAAACTTTCAAACCTATCAAGAAAGTCACTTCTTGAAATTTTTTTATTATGCTTGACAGTTTTTGAGAGTATATAATCTCTCATAGTTATTGATGACATCATCAATCAGGAATAGTACTATGGTATATTTCGGTGCTAACTATAATTTTCCTCGTCTTTGGGCTATGTCTCTGGCTTTTTTCCTTTCAAGCCACAAAGGAAGGGGATGGATGAACGTAAACCGGCGCGAGTTGGCGACGACGGTGAGAGTGGCGCGATGCCATACGGATGCCTTATCCGAATGCGTCCGCCATCCATGGCATCCGCCTTGGCTGGGCTTCGTCTGGCTGAGGGCGGGCAACGATCAAGGCAGGGCCAGGGGACGAGGCAGTGCGACTGGGAACTAGTACTGGGAAGGGCCGAGACGAGGGACGAGGATTCCAAGCACAGCAGCTATGGCGTCCGCGATCGCTGCATCCGTTGCTGCCAGCTCTGTCGCACCGCTTCAGAGCGCCTGCGTTTCTCAGGTTGGAATTGGACGCGGACATGCTTACGCGTATGTGTTTTTTCCTCGACCGAATTCTCAGCTGAGCTCTTGAGCCCGGAATTATGACGCTGGATTGATTGCCTTGGCTTGTGAATTTTGACAGGGAAACGCATTGAGCGTGAAGGGCACTTCTATTTCGTCCGCATTTGTGACCGGCCAGAAGCTGCAGAAATGTTTGTCTGCCGCTCCTCTGAGGAAGAGAACGGCTGTGGTTAAGGCTCAGGCCCAGGCCCAAGCCGAGGTCGAGATTGAAGATGTCACAGGTATGTCTGTAAAGGTTTTCCTGGATTGAGGTCGATTTTGCTTGGATTTCCATAGAATTAAACTGAGAACGCCCAGTAGCCGAGGTCGCATCTTTCAATTTTAATATTCTCGTTTCTCGTCCCCTGCATTGCCCTTCTTCTTAGGGTTGTTGCGAGAGCATTTTGAGAATAGTAAGATTGACTAAGAGGTTTCTTCGTGGGTTGTTCTCAGAGAGGTTCCGCCTCGGAAACCTATCGCCTCAACCAGGCTCAAGAAAGAGGAACAAAAGAAAGGGTAGAGGTATTGCTGCCGGTCAAGGTGCCAGTTGTGGTTTTGGTATGCGTGGGCAAAAATCCAGGTCAGGTTCAGGTGTTCGCCCTGGATTTGAAGGAGGTCAAATGCCCCTTTACAGAAGACTCCCTAAGCTCAAGGGTATCGCTGGAGGTACTCTCTCTCTCTCTCTTTCTCTGTGGATTCGACTTTCAAGTCGATGTATATTTAACGAAATTTGACGGAACGGAGTTGTGGAGGAGGGTTTTGTAGTGTCTGATCAGTCTCATTTTTCCATATGGCGAACTTCAGTTTATACGATAGTGTGGAATCGTCTTGACGGTTGAATTCGGGTATTGCCAGGAATGGGCGCCGGACTACCCAAGTTCGTGACCGTGAATCTGTGCGACATTGCCGAAGCTGGTTTCGAAGAAGGAGAGGAAGTTACTCTAGAGAACCTCGTGGAGCGACGTGTCATCAATCCTTCCGGAAGGGACTCGAGACTTAGACTGAAGGTATGACGGGGTTCATGTACGTCTGGGTTTCGACAGCATTGTCTGCAATCCGGGTCAATTGTCTTCCATGAATCCGTGCTATTTCTTTTCGACGGTTTTGTCAGACGTCGTGCCCATTTTCCTGACCTTTATTACTCGTGGTATTTGGCTTCTGCTCAGGTCCTTGCCGATGGAGAGCTAGACACCAAGCTGACCATCAAGGCAGGCTCATTCTCTGCAGCCGCGAGGGAGAAATTGGAGGCCGCTGGATGCACGCTGGTCGATGTACCCGGACGAAAGAAATGGTTATCGGAGAGCTACATGAAGAACCAAGCGCGTGCTGATGAGTACTTCGCCAAGAAAAGGGCTGGAGCAGAGGAAAGCTCATAGACAGGAATCTTAGCCCAAGCTGAGTTTTATAAGACTATCCATTGACGTCGAAATGACAAGCAGCTTTCGAGCCAAGTTGTATTTGTGTACAGGCAGCTCAAATGCCACAAGTATTTAGCACAGGGATCTGGGCCCCCGCTGAAGAATTTTTCCTACTTCTAACCTCTGACGGACCGAGGCCGTGTCTTCTGGGAGAGCCTGAGCACCATATTCAGTGTAGGACAATTAGTGAAGTGATCCGAGGGAGGTTGCAGCTGCGGATGAAAGAAAGTAGTGCACATCACTGTTATTAAGCATTCATTTTATGTGACCAAAAGTCCGCAAGGACCTATGGATGCCATGACCCCCGTTTCCGCATTCTTCGCACCTCACTCCATTGCATTGCCCACACCCCATTTGATGGCTTCGATGACTGCTTTCTCGTTGCGATCTTCCTTCCCTCGCCCACAACGTGCGCTCGCTGCCGTGCACTGTCGACCGGCGAGGGTTGTAAAGTTACCCGGACTCTTCGTTTGTCACACTTCAATTCTTCGCAGGATTTATTCATCCGCCAGATTTTACCTGCTCTTTTTTTTCGTTCACCCCGAAGAGTCCGCAAGGAGATGAATTCATCGACAGTGAAACATGCTTCGCATGTTTCACTGTTTGCTAACGTTGGTTTCACAAAAAAGATGACCGTCAACTGGATGGAAAGAAAAACAGAACTGCGCTATATCGTGTAATTACTAAAGACCAATGGCCACCACATTGGCTGTGCCATTAGATAATGCCCATGTTCGTACAACCGTAGAAAATTTATCACTAGAAGTGACTTCTTCCGCGTGCAATGTCCTTGAACATGTCCATATTCTTGCAATATATTGGAACGGTGATCACTGTTCACCTCTCGAGTCGGGAATCCAGGTAAGGATACACCAAAACAATTCGCGTGACATAAATGCCAACAAATACATTACCTAACAATGTCGACAGAGTCCAAATGCCCCCTAAACTGTTTCAAATTCTCTGAACACCAAAGTGTTCGGTCCAATTGTGTTATAATTCTACAATTTGGTTAAAATGGTAATACTATATGATAATACGAGAACAACTAAGCGAATTCAGGAAACCTTGGGTCAATCTTTATATAGAATACTAGATTTGTTTTGCTATCTTGGCTCATATATTTTATGCCATGATGAATCTCAAGATAACTTGTAGCACAATTAACCAACAATCATTCACAATCACATACTGCAAGCAATTGTGTAGGTATGAAGAATAGTGTTTACAATCACATACATCTCTCATTTAAGATGTAAGAGTTTTAGTTGTAAATAATTTAGCTCTTATAGCACTATTGACAGCAACTAATAGAGACGTGTAGATAAGCAATTTGCACATTTGGATAAGCAATGTGTAGATTCACTGTATGAAGCTCACATATAAACACTGTTATACCGAAAGCGCGTGAATTTTGTTGATACCCAGTGGTTTTAGAGATTGAAAGATTCTCAGCCTCCCTAAACACGTGAGAGTGTTCGCCCTTGTTCCTCTTGATAAGGCTTGAGTTTTCTTTAGATCAAATCTACATTCTACAACCGTGTAGATATATGAAACATTCGTGGGACCGTAACTGCGGTAAAATGTTAGGATTTTTGCTCAAACTTTTTTTCGGTACGGAAGGCATGGAACTTCCGCCTTAAAAAGGTACTTTACTTGCATCGCTCAACATGCACTTGAGTTCTGGCAGAAGTAGCAACAAGGCCGATTGACTTTTCATCGGTGACGATTAACTGAGCAGATTTCGTCGGGCTCCGTTGCGACTTTCTGAAGTAAGAGTGTAGAAGGGCTTTATTTCTATATCATTCTTAAATAAAAACACTAGCTACAAAAATGCTCCCAATTCAGATTTTTCCTCGCCAAGGGAGATCTTGAACCCATTAGCAAGTACATCTCCCAAAAAAGAAGTATAGGACGAGAACAAGAACAAAACTTGAAGCTGAGACATACAGCTGAGACTAAAGGGTGCCATATGTTCTCCTTCAATCGGATCATGGCATACATGAACTTATGAACTTATGATCTGTTATGAAGAAATATTGCCAATCTTTCATCACAGACCACTTGTGTACACTAGTTTCACATGATCTGGCACGTGGGCCTTTCGGTTCGGAGTTTAACTCACCATCGACACGATGCGCTAAACAACTTCGCAGAGGCTCCTCCGCCGCACAAGGTTGTACCAGTTAGACAAAACAGGAAAAAGTAACAATCTTTGCAGAAACTGTTGTCATGCAAACACGAATACAATATGAATCAAGACAGCGTCTTCTCTCCTCCATAAAACGCCCTCGCGAGTGACTAGTTGCAAAAGACGAAACTCAAGCGCCTCATGCAAACATACAGACTGTAGACATATTCAAGCCAACAGACAAGCCTACGACAGCTCCTCGATTCAAACTTCGGCAGACCAGAGACGAGGATAAGGAAAGACAAGGATGATTTCAGACACTGCTTTGAAAGTGACCCAGCAGTATTGTCCCATCGGGCGATGCGTGAGGAGTTCCCACTGTAGCATATTGAAAGTCGCCAATTTGGTGCCTTCCAACGTCCGTGCCGCCCGTGCAATAACCGAGCAGCAGATGTTCAACCTCCACCTTGTATCTTAGACAGCACCTATAATCTCACGGAAAACTCAGTGCCAAGCACACAACACAAAACTCGGGACGTCCAGAAACAAGCTAGATTTATCCTACGTGCCGAGCAAATCCTCATGCGACATCCGGAATATGATATCTGAGACAAAAAAGAATATTTCAGGCTTAAGATAGCGGTTACACTAAGAGTACCATGGCGCTGAGAATGTACAGCCTTACCAAAGGCACAAAAAATAATATTTGGCACTCGTTGGCCTAGGCCTTCACTATTGTAGTCGTCCCCATAACGAAGTGGCATATATCTCTCTGAGGCCTCTAATCCTCGATGTTTCACTTCCCTCATCTCACTGGCTCCCACCACGAATTCAGATTAATAAGACATAAGCCAGTCATGAGATCTACGAGCTCAGAACGGAGACTCTTTTCTTCTTAACACTGCTCAACTTTCTGCGATCGTGAACAGATTACCGCAGAAAATTCTTGCGTCCCTTTGAAGAAATCGAAAGTGCTATGAATGATCGAAATAGCCGGTGTTTATTTCCCACAAAGAGCATATTGAAGAAAATCACAGCGAGTCTCTTTCTGTCCTATTAATAACCAAATTCTCAAACATGGCTCACAATAACCGGTGGTTGTGCAGTTCCGGTTCCCAGAAATGAAAGGAAACCTCCGGGAGCTTCTTGGTCATCCAAGAAAAGATCGTCGGGAACCCTAAAGGCACCGTGAGCGGAGATAACTGCTGCTCCCAGGAGACTAGCAGAGATCAGGATCGAACCAACGTCCGTCAACGTTAGGCCTACGACGGTGATCACTGACATGAGCACCAAAATCTCCCTTTCTGTAAATGTCCGTCCCCACAAAACCAGAGGATCTCGTCGAACCATATACAAATATGCCCACGCAGCTACGATGACAGACAAACTGAGTAAAGAGAATGGATGCCAGAACAAGCTAGAGCCGACAAAGACGAGGAGACAGATGATGTAATTGATGCGGAAATAGCCCATATTTTTTCGTACACGCGTTACTGCTTCGCTGAAGGACTCGGGCTTGGCAAAGGCATTGCGATCGACCATTTCCGCCCATGGCCGTCTCTGCGCAAGTGCAAACTTCGCCGCTTCATGTGCGTGTGATAAGAAGGCCCTTGCTGCAGGTGTAGGAGTGATCCCACCCGCATTCGCAGTTGGCTGAGATACCGGTAACGCGGCAGTACCGGCCATAATGACTTCCACAACCTCGACCCCTCCAAAACCTTCCCTCTCCTGCTCCTGCTCCTCGTGCTCCCTTCAGATCTGTGAAAAGGCCTGCCCACGACCTCGTGTTCTCTTTCGTTCGTCTTCTCCTCACCTAGCGAAGGTCAATTCCTCAATGAAGCCCACTCACCGCGCACAAACGACGATCGCAAATCTGAAACCACCACAACCCTCGTTCAGATCCAAGAAGGCCTTATCAACTGCGTCAGTGCTCTGCTCTGCTCTCCTCTCCTCGACTTCACACGCCGTGCCCTGGCCGGTCTCTCTCCTCCGCGTCAATTCATCCACCCCAAATTGAGCGGACTACATGCCCAGATCCGCACTGAACTCGACTCGACGAAACCCGAAAAGAACTCAAACAACAAAGCAAACAAAGCGAAAGCGTGCGACGCAAAGCAAAGCAAAAGCATCTGGCCACGAGACTCACTCCCACCACCACTGCCACTCCCGCTTCCGAGTCCTTTCGTCACCACCGAACAAACCCTCCCTTCCTTCTTTCCTTCCTGCTCCTTGTCCTCTGACGCACGCGAGTGAGCGAGCGAGCGAGGCGATGCGATGCGATGTAAAACGGGCCTGCCTCGTCCTCGACCTCGTCCGCTTCCCCTCGCCTTCCCTTCCCTTCGCTTCCCTGCGCCCTCGTCCGCCTTCCCTCGCTCGCCCTTGAAGAAGCTGCCGCGGGGACGTCGGACGTGCGGTCCGGATGTCGTGCTGACTCTGACGGATCGTGTCAGACTATTCCCATTCTCATCTGCAGATCTGGGCCGTCCATCTTGGTTCTCCGTCCTCCTCCGACAAGACTGGGCACGTACTCCTGTTCGGTGCTGTGCTGGAGCCTTTCGATTGCTCGGCCGGTTTTGCTGTTCACGTCTGTTCTTGTACCGGTATGTGAAGTATTAAAGTACGATAGTACAATATGACATAAGAATTTGTATTGGGAAAAAATGGAAATTAACAAAAGTGGGTAGACGGCTAAGTAATTGCTATTTTGTTCGCTTTCTAGTCTAATATATTGGATACCCAAGAATTGCCGAGCATTGGCCGAGCATTTACTTTGGTCTTCTGTTCCAGACTGCCACTTCGTAAAATGTGATTGTGTTCGATTAGCCTTACCATTGAATGAAGACAACTCTTCACGATACAGAAAAAAATCAAAACGACCCATGAAGACTTATGATTCAGAGTAAACTCTTTATGGACGATGAATTTTCCAATTTTGAAATTCTTCGTACATTTTGAAAATTTTCAAGAAACTCATCGTACATTTTTCAAAAAGAGATTCAAAAATTTCAAAGATACTCAGATTATTTAATATTTCAGATCTTGATCACGTAATATATCTGCATTTATTGCGAGATATTGAAATTTCTAGAGAATAATATACATAGAATGCAACACGGTTCTGCATTAAAAAAAATTGCCCAATTTCCCAAATTCCTACTCAAATGAGGAAATTACTTGATGGCACCACAACAATTGTTGTGTCTCATCAACTAATTTGAGTTTTCCAGGGATCACATAAAATAATTATCTCTACTCAAAGAGATATTTGGATTATGTGATTTTTTTTCAAAATAATTTCACAACGATTTCTCTCAAATAAGACAGCAATAATGTTCATGAAAATGTTAGTTTGGTTTTATTCTTTCGTATTTTTCAACCATTTTTCATCAATTGAATATATATTTTTTGATATAGCGATTGATTACGGTTTGAAAATTGATGAAGTAATTTTATTGAGCACAATATATATTTATCATTTATCTGTAATCTTCCAAAGAGCTTCAATATTGTGACTTGTATCACGCTAATGTACATCAATGGAATGCAAGTTTATAAAAATGGATAAAATATTCTTGTGCATCAAGAGCATGTTTTTAACAGCCAAGATTTTCGTAAATGACTTATTGTTCAAAACAGTTCAAATTTTTTCATAAGTTTCAAGAAAATATAGTTGATCAAAACTAGACATCGTGAAATCTCATTGTTATAAAATGACAAATTCTTCATGTTATCAAACTCATTTGATTAAATTACCTCCATTTGTAGAATAATATATATGTCACAGCTTCTTTGATTATAGTTATAAAGTTACTTACGTTATTAATTCCAGAATGATATATTTAAATGTAATGTCAGATGATATATCGTTCTGCAAATGTTAAGGAAATTTGGAGCACTTGACTTTTGTATCCAGTATCCACATGCAAAAATTAAACGCGCAGATGATTTTCTTTTTAAAGTTGAAAATTAATGAAATCAATTCAGTGTTCAATTTTTCACTCTACTCCTCGTAATTGATTTAGAAGAATATTAGAAGAATATAAATCAACAAGTTCGAGGATTTGTTCACTAAAGTATGACAAGCAATGACAATCGATCAATGAAACTTGTAAAGTCATATAGTGATCAATTCGTTAATATGTTATCGAAAGCCGCCATTGTATATACCAAATCAAAAACTCTGCTATCAAAAGCCACAATTAGATATTCCAAATCCCAAACTATCCTGTTGTATGAAAAATTGCGACTAAATTCAATAAATAATGAGAAATAGTGATCATATTCATTACACCGGGTATCCATTATATAAAGCTTAATTTTTCTCAAGTATTTACATTTTCTTCTCTTATACACAAAGTCAAAGGACGTCAACTCAAAATATATTTTTTAAAAATCGGACAATCAATATTACGAGTGACGTCGCTGTTCAAACATCATTGATAAATTCAATAGTCACCCTATGATAAATTCTTTCCACAATCAAAATAAAAAAAATATGTTGGCATGTTACCTTATATCATGATAATCCAGAAATATTTTTAGCACGAGCAAATACCAAATTTATAATGTTAGCATAGATATCCAAACTTTAGAAAATAATGTACAAGCTGTAGGACTATTTTCTGTAGGCTCTTCTGCCACGATATATGCTCTGGTTGGGATCTGAATGCGGCGAAATGTACAAGGCGACACAACGACTTCGAACAACAAACGGGAGCACACGATGATAGTGAACGGAGCAAGGAACGGATAATTGAGAGCTCCTTGGAGGCGCCAGACGAAATATTTCAACTGAAACTTTCTCACCCACTTCGGGCGAGGAGGATCCAGGTGGACGTCTGAAAGCCGTCGATCCCCGCCGGATCGGCAGTGAGCAACTCCTTCCACCTTCCTGTTCAGAATCTGTTGCTTTGCTCGAAAGTTCGACTGCATCCCTCGGATTCCCTCCGTCCCTCGCTCCATCCATCCATCCCTCGCCTCGGTTCATCGGACATCGTCCTCTTCGGCTGACTGACTCCACCCGCCGAGCCGCATTGGAGCAACCATCGCCGACTGCAGCAGTAAGCTCTAGACCCGATCCTCTGAATCTCTCGAACAAGTTCAATGTTCGATGTAATGTGGTGGTCTGTCCGGGCCCAGAGAAGCAAGCAAGTGCGTCGTTTCAAGTCGTTCGAGTCTGCGGAATCGAGCGCGTCAAGATGGTTCACGATCGGCGAGCTACATCTGCAAGAAATTGTTCGTTCGGATCTTCGAACTGAAGTCCTCATTTTGCAAATCGTGGTACACCGACAAGACATTCGCAATGAGTGTTCGGTTTTCCCTGAGCGTCGATGATAATTTGGGAAATAATCTCAATGTGCAGCACTGTCAGTGAGACACGCTTGCAAGCCAAAATTTGGCAATTGTTTCGTTCCCTTGCAAATAAGGCGATCTGAAGAACGAACGATAAAAACCTGATCAGTTTCGAGACCGTAAATGACAAACCCGCATTTTCGTGATGTGCGTGAGCGTAGGGGATGGCCAGAAGCTCGTCACTTCAGTTTCCTTCCTAACGCGCATTGTACATTCTTGCTCGGTGGAAAAGACTTTGATTGTTTCTCTGTTCTGTAGTGGAGTGATCCACCCCGCCCGTTGAGCAGCTGGGTTGCTACTTTGATGCATATGGACGTTAGTACCGGAAGTGGTACGGACGTGGGCCGAGACATTTAAAACCGACTCGTAACCCGGTAAAGATATATCTAATCATCTTTGAACCATGCTTGAGTAATTCAATCTGCTTTACGATACGGGCTTACGGGCTTTGTCGATAGCAGAAACGTAGCGAATTTTTGAAGCCGTGGTTTAGCCGTTGGGTGCACCTAGCGACGGGCCGGGCTGGGCGGAAAGGAAGAGTCATGCACGAGTGAGTGTCTAGGACTGGAGCACCGTTATGCACTTTTGGTGAAGTGATGCTGTTTGAGTAAACAAGAAAATGAACAAGTCAACGACCAGTGCAGGTCAAGGCAGAATGAAAATTGCACTGAGTTATGTTTATACTCCCCGTGGCAATACTTGGCAAGGCTGGCAATCACCGCATCTACTGCTCCTGGAGAAACGCTTCACCGAGTGAGCAGAAGGATCTGCGGTCCCAATGGCGTGCCCTGATAATCAGTTTGAAGCAGTGATCGGTGAGAAACGGTTTTCACGAGTGCGACCCGTGGATGATGAAGAGAGGAAGAAACGGATTTTCGACACTTACTCCTACTGCTCGGTTTTCTATCTAGACCTACACGCCGAACAGCATTCAAACTGAATCTGCATCTAGATTTTCTGACTCTGTTCTGTCCGCATACCAAGAATCTGCACATATACCTTCCTCATTTCCGGCCATCTCTTTGTCAGCTGGATGTGAAAGGACTGAATAAGCAGCTGGAATACAACCAATGGAAGAAAGACCAGGAAGAAGCCGAAAAGAAAGCATACGGTGAGCTAGAATTTCAAGCTAATTTCCGTGTCAGTCTTTCTTTGTTTGAATCTTTGATTTTCAAATAAAAGAATTGAAAATCTCAAATCCTATATTTGCTTGACCTCTTTGTGAGACGTACATCCTCTTCAAACATTTCGGCAATCCAAACTTACTTTGTGCAAACTCAAAGAAAGCTACACATCTCAAAAGGACAAGCTGTTCTTTTCAGAAGTTAGAAGAAATAATACAGTTAAACTGTTTGGTCCAAGCTTATAATCGTTCATCTAGCAAGGATTGGTGCTAACATTGATCTTCCACAGTACTTGCTTTTGGTTTACACGACACGCTTTCTGTTTAGGAGACACTGTTCTTAGAGGCCTACAGATCAGCAGCATTATCGGTTGGTTTTGTTTGAACCAGCATGCGCTGATAACCCCAAAGCGCTAAATGTAGAAACTTGATTTCAATATGCAGCCGAATATCAAGACATGAAAAATCGAAACATGAAGTACTACGAAGAGCAAGTGAGGTATCTTATCTCTACCAAAGGCTTTGGCTAAAATCACCACTGCTATATGGTGAAAGTTTCTCCCACTTAGGTCCTGGTTCTCCTTTGAAAATTTCATGATGTGGAATAATCTGTCTAAAATATGTACGAGTGCTTCAGCACAACAATTGAAGTCTACGATATCAGTGTAAGTCCCTAATTTTCAGGAGTTGCAGTTGTTGAGTGCACTCATTTCACACGATCGGAATTCTGCAGTTCTTTTGCAGTTCTGGCCTTCTCTTCGCTCATCAAAAAAATATAGCTGGATTGATGAAACATTTAATCGAAGTTGGTTCTCACCCATTCGCTGCAGACTGAGGAAAAAGGAGAATGACCTTGAAGCAGCCAAGGAGTGGACTGAACAACATAAGGAACGAGTAGCACAGGACGTTGCAGAGAGACTTTGGCGAATGCAGATTAATGACAGGGCAAGTTTATCAACACAAGACCTTGAATCCTTTTTCATAGAGTTGGATTCTGAATAAGTCACCTTGGACCTTACCTAGGCACAATGTTGAACGACATTTGGAGAGTTTACTCCGCGGTGATTGAAATCTCATCTGGTTCATAACTGTTGTCTCTTGTCATACGAAGACGATATCTCCTTCTGCTTCAGCAGTGTAACTGTTCTGGAATGCCTAAGCCGGTTGCTTAAACTAAACGAATGTTTAAGCGGCGTTCAAAAAGGTGTAAAGCATGTTTGAGAGGAAAATCCCATAGTCAAGCAGAACAGCAAATTGAGTCAAGGAATCTGCTGACATCATGGATAAGAACCCTGTCATAATCTGAAGACCGTAGCATTTGGGAGCAGAAATGTCACGTAGGACTTAAAGTCGAACGAACTAATCAAACAGCAACTTGTGAAAATCAAAGATTTGAGAGTTGTTCTCTCAGCAAGAGCGTATGGTCGTCTGCTGACCAGAACGATTAACAGAGAATTATATGATATGTATGAAACTACTGCCGTACGCTGGACGGACAAAGACTCACTCCACTACATCTGCAGTATGGACCGTTAACTAGAGACAGGTATGTTCAACAAGACTTGGAACCAGCGAGGGAGATAGCGATCTACAATAAACTACAGGAGAAATGGTGCGACCAGATAGATACAAAAGAAGCTCAAAGGAAGAAGGACTATGCCGAGCACATGGATTACATCCACAGACAGTGTATGGCAAGAAAAACCATGCGGGAGAGAGAAGAATTTGTACGATTCCTGTACCTCTCGTTCATGGTCGTTGGAATGGTATCAACTCTATTGGTTTCGGGAGGAACAGAGGATCCATGTGTTCTGAGAGATAATTTCGATTCAGGAAGTGACTTAAAATTTCCGGGTCTAATCGGTAGATCCAATACCGAAGGCCTAGAACTTTCTCCTCCTGAAGCTTAAAGCATGATCGGTCAGTAAGCAAGGAAGAGGTGCAGACACTTAGTACCTTCGTCAGTTAGGTTTGAGCAGAAAGCTGGAACCACTTTCTATTACGGTGTCTTTACAGAGCAAGCGACGATCTCGGTCAGCCGCTTCTCTTTTGCCCGGGGTTCCAACGATTTTACTAATCTAATCTCTGCAGATTGGAAGGAGACTGTTTGAAGATAATCGCGAATTGATGAAGACGCAGATGTGCGAGGCTGGATGGAAGCAACAAGAGTAAGTTGAATCACCTCAAGACTGGCGTCATGAGCTCCGTACAGAATCAAGTCACACTAAAATGCACAGATTAATATGTGAAAGTTTTCATCTGATATTCTAGATTCGGACTACATCTTCTGATGTTTCGTCTTTTCTATAGGGCGAGAGAGGAGAAGCGGGAAAATCACATGTACCAGATCAAACCCGAATACTTTGCTCAATTCCAAACACGAAGTCGTTGAGAGCGTCACTCTCATATGTGAAGCTCCAATCAGGATATGAGTGCTCGATGATGAGTAGCTCATGCGAGCATACAGCGGAATAATTGTCCAATATATGAGACTTGGACGTCCTAGACACCGAACGCCGCAAAGACCCTGAGAGTTGTTCCTGTCTGCCTTTTGCGTGCAAGAAGGACAAGTCAGCTGTGGCATGGAGGGTCTGCGTAGTTTCGAAGGTCGAAAGTAGTAGTTGCAGAGCTGATCGAGGGGGAGATTGTTACATTGTTATAACGAGCGAAGCATATACCAGTCACAGCACGCGTGAGCCTTCTGAGCCAAACGAGTCAAATGTCATGTTCAGATAGGTTTCCACACACATGTACAGAAAGTCAATCGTCAATCTGATGCTTGTTTCGATATGGGATAAGGGACATGTGCACATGTGATAAGGGACTACGTGCACATAATCCCAGGTTGATTGAGTACACGATGAGAATGCACCCCATGAAAGAGGTCATCTTTATCCATTGAACGCATGTGCCATAATCTGGATTGAAGCTTTGCTCGTGACCGGAACGGTACTGCACTTATTGCAAGCCAGGAGCTCTGGCAGACGTTGTGCTTACGAGAGTGATGGATTGTTGTGTAACAGTCAGCTCTCAGTTCTGAGAGTACGGTACGGTAAGATGGCTGCAGACAGTGCGAGCTTGACAATAAGGACTTACTTAATCTCAATAGAATGTGGACTCTGCAAATGTGTCAGTTTGCTGCTGAAAGTTTTAAGGCAAGACTCCAATCTTTGGCTTGCAGTTGTTCTTGCAGTCAAACTTACCGCGTTCGCGCCTCATCCAACTGATATTGACTCGGAAAACATAAGGAGATGTTGAGACCTTACCGCCGAAAATCAGATACTACCATTCACAACGCAATCGGTCAGTAGTCTTGCAAGATCGCCGATCACTTCAGAGGACCGGATCTTGCAAGGGCAAATCTTAATGAAACGCGTGAGTGGAATCTCCGAACACCTAGACAAATGGAGTGTCCCAGAAGACTGCCTTTCGAGAAAACTTCAACAGGGACAGAGCTCGTTGGGAGACTTCACACTTAAATAGAGGACACCCGACTGCTTGTCGTCCAGGGTCCTTCAGAGTCTAGCGAGCTGCGTCTATCTAATCCCGAAACCAGGACAGAGTGCATTCTTCTCCATTCAAGCTAGGAATGCCACATGAATACGGGTCCGGAACTCTATTTTCAGCACTCTGTACAACCTTGTCTGAAAGACTTGGCATCTATGTTACAATTTCAATGTCTAGTCCTCTGTACACACATAGTTTCACGAACTTAAGATTGATGAGACTGTCTTGAAAAACACCATGAACATGGTGTTTCCTGTGTATCTATGTACAGTCAGTGAGTGAGCAAGCGACGTCAGCTCGTCGGAGCTATGACTGCCTTGCTTCCATTACTCGAGTCTGAAAACCTGGTAGCTCAGTGACCGAGTTCAGCATCCATCATCGATGTGCAGCTGAATGTGGATGCATGTTGGCCGTGTCTATGCTAGCGAGAAGCCTGGCTGCCCTGGTTCTGAGGACGGTGCTGTTCGGAGGTGCAGCTAGCTCTCTGAGAGGCAGACTTGCAGAGCGGCGGTATTCCTCCTTCATCGTGGGAACTTTGAAGATGTGTTCCAGCATGAGCACTGCTCGTTCTGCGTGCTCTTCGTGACGCAGAAGGCCGAAAAGAGGTTGAATTCCGTGCACTTCGTGTAATGCAATGGCCCCCGAGTGCACGATATCGTCTCCACCCACAAGGGTCTCCAGAGTGTCCAGAGCTGCGTCCCCTGCTTCTCCGGCTCCCCAGTCAGTATCATCCGATCCCAGCAGTGACACCAAGGGACCCACGGCTCCGGCTGCCACCAGACAGAATGTGCTCTTGACGCTGCACTTGCCCCCGTGCACCCGGCACAGTCGAGGTCGGCGTTTCAGGGCGCACGTCCAGCCTGAGGCCTGGACCTCGCTCACGAGCTTCGGAGTGCTTCGAGAGAAGTTTCTCAAAACGTAGGCAGCTCCCGCTTGACTGCGTGGGGCGCCGGTCCTCAAGAGCTCGATCAGACGAGTGTGCACGTCAAGGCTGGCGGCTGCCTTCTGCGTTTCGACGTCTGAGTCGGTGAAGCGGCGCAGAGTCGCCAGAGCCTTTGCCTGAACCTCCTCCACCTCGGAGTTAATCAGGCTGACCGTCGCAGGTACGACTCCAGCTGCCAGGATCGAGGCCGTGAGTTGTTCACGCCCGAGAGGCAGGTTCGCCAAGATCCCTGCGACTGAAGCTTGTGCGTCTTCGTCCACATCTGTCATGAGTTTGACCAAGTCTGCTTCACCTTTCGTTCTTTGCAACTGATCGAATACTTGCTCTGCCCCCTCGTTCTGTGCAAGTCCCATGAGGATTTTCAGCGAACACCTCCGAGCATCCCGGTCTGGTCCCCACACCTCTGCAAACAAGAATTGGACACTCGTTTCGTCCTGTATGAACTTCCTGGCTTCTTTGTCCTTCGACAACCCCAGCAAAGCGCGAAGTGTTCGAATGCGCAAGACTGAGGAACTCACGCCCCCAGGATTTAGAAGAAGTGGAACAACTTGAGATACAGGAATGTGCTTCTCGCCGACCTCCGCTATATACTTCGCACCATCTTCAGAGCACAAATTCAGAACTACCATAGCAGCACTCTCTCTAATTTGTAGTTGATTGTTCGTGTTTTTCAGCAGGAGCAGCACATCCGCGACGGCTCCTGATTCTGAAATATGGCTCTTCATATTTCTCCAGGAAGAAAGATTTCTCAACGCTGCCAGAGCAGAGCTCTTCAGTGCGAACTTGCTGGATTTCAGCATTGTTGCCAACTGAATTACAGCGCCCTCTGCTAATAAAGTCTTGTTGTCAGGGTTGACGTCGCTCTCTCTCACCCTTTCGGCAAGGAAATTGGATAAGCATACCTTTGTTGTGTCTGGACCTGAACAACAGATGGACAAACATCCGGTCAGATAAATCTGCATTCCAAAGCATCTGCTTTTAGTAGCCAGGACAAGTTCATTACTTCGAGTGGTCGGTAGTCTCGCAAGCAATCAACATCAGAATCTATGGGACGAAGAAACATCCAGTACCTGAGTCAGAAGACCACAAGGACAGAACTAAAGAGTTCATTACGCAGGTGTCCCATTAACATAGGGGAAATCCCAGACGAATCGATTGGGGGTGCACACCTGTTGCGAGGCGACTTATCAAGGGATCCACCAAGTTAGCCATTGCCATTGCCTGCACGTTCTCATCCACTTCAGAGAGCCTCTCCAGAATAACCCTGACCTTCTCTCGAACATCGGACTCGATGTCACGCTGGAGAAAAACAGTCGCAAGGGACAGGATAGCTCCTTTCACTTCAGGAATCATGTCACAAGCTTGCTTGTTCTTCGACAACTCGAACAACAGCGCAACAGCCGAGGACTGATGATAAGTGTGAATTAAGCTCTTAATTATCGGAGTAAGTCCCCCAGCATCAACCATTCTTTCCTGAACGACGACGACGACGACGGTAAAGCATCAGGGCCTGGTTCAGACGACGAAACCATGGGTTGACTCGGATCAAAGACGAAGGAGAATTCCTGACGTTCGAAAAGGTGATCCTGCTCTTCAGACTCGGCATAGCAGGAGAACAGTACTTGTAAAGTTTACATGACTAGCAAAGCTGAGCATGAAACAAGGATTCCTAGTACCGCTCTTGTCTGCCTAGAATTCCCGTAGTCTATCTATCCCATGCTTACCCTGTTCAGGTCGATATTCGTTACAATCATCGTCATTGTCGATAAACTCAACTCCCGAAATTCTTTGGGTACTAGTCTAGAAGCCGTCCACAAGTGCAAGATAGCCTCCAAAATGCCCTCAGCTGCAATCCAGTATTTGTACTCCGCTTTCATCTCACACAGTCGGTCAAGATCCTCGAGAGCACTTTTCTGTTTAGACGTCACTGCACACAACAGACTCTCTTTGGCCTCGCGAATTCGTATAATTTTGTTGAGAGCATCCCACTCTTCGATACCTGCTCGCAAGCTATTGTTGGGACGTAGTTCTTTCTTGACCAAGATTTGCCCGCTCTCAGGATCTGTACAGCTGCCTTCTGATTGACCGTCGAAATGCTCGAGAATGGCTGATTTCTCGTAGGTCTTCTCTGTACAGCCGAGAATCACCGGATCTTTCATCACCTCTTTCGTTAGAGGACACAGGAACGAAGGGTATGGAGGGAGCTGCCCTCCAGCACGAGAAGCCTTTTGAACCAATTTCCGGTATTTCAGAATTGGGTCTTCGGGAGGAGAGACTGCTTCTGCACGATCGAGGATGGCAATAACTTGCTCCATGAACGCTCTCTCTTGGTCCTGTTTTTTCAAAGCAACTTCTTCGGCTTCCCTCTTGAAGGTTTCGAGCTCTAACTTCATCGTATTGTGGTCTTGCGACAGCCCCACTGCTTGAGCTATTTGGCGCAGGATATTATTCGCAAAAGTCTGATCCGTCTTATGCTCCTGGAGGCCCTTCTCCAAAGAGTTCATGACGCGAGTTTGATCGGCTGAAGCTTGAAACTCCGCTGTCACCATCATCTCCTTCAGTCGATAAGCATGGTCGCAGATATCCATCTGAACTTCAGAACCTGCGGCGAGTAACAACTGCAACGCTTCGCCGATGTTCCTCGTGGCCTTCTGAGCACTTTTCACAAGCTTGCGGCTGTTTATCAAGAGCAGGAACCTCGACTTTCCGTCCGTGTCTTTGAGCACCTTCTGCGCCTCCAGCACATTCACTTTCATATTCTCGAGGGCGGCCCTCATCGCGGAAGAATCGGACAAGTTTTGCCTCTGAAAGTCTATCAATACGCACTGCACGTCTTTCAGAAACCTGGCCAGAGTCTTGAAATTCTCCTTCTCGACTGCTACATCCTGAGCCGCGATTGCAGTGTTCAGCACCTCCTTCGACAGAGAAGTGAGCAGACTTCCGATCGGTATAAGTGCCAGAGCAATTGTGAAAGGCTCCATGGCGCCGACAAAGACCTCAGAGCAAGGCTAGCTCCCCGAGTGTCAAAATCTGATCACAACTGCACTGAGTCCGGCATGCGTTCGCAGCATCGTGGGTCCGTATAATTCATGCCTCCGGTGATCGGTGTAGAAGGACAACAAGTCGAGGTCAAGAGTCCGTTCCACAATGCAGCGTTCAAGCTTTGAAGAAATCAACAGGCCCGTGCTTACAGTGCTAACTGTCGACAGCTTGAATCCCTCAACGAGTTCGACGACTTCAAGGCCAAGTCATTGGCCACTCCCTCCCCTCCCAACAAACTTTTTCAGGGGCCGGGGCCTAAAAGACACGATCGAGTTGCTGGATCACTTCCCATCGGATGCCGGCCGGCCAAACTTAAATTTTTGAGACACCTTCAGCTTCCAATTCTTCCGATTCTGCGAAGATTTCATTCCAATTCTGCGATACAGATTTCATGTAACAATCAGCTGAATTGTGCCTCACCATCTCCATACATCCATCCTCATCCTTCTCGATAACTGACCGATCAAACGAATGAACAAACACTGGCTGATTCAGCTGGCTTCACTCCACTTTAATTCTGGTCTGTCAGACACGGGCTCCCTTCCTTCCATTCGTCCTACTGCTTCTCCTGTGCGACCCTCAACCTCGTCCTCCTCATCCTCCTGGACTTTCAGTCAAAGCCAAATTCCGCAGGGTTACAGTCGACCGCCTGAAGGCGATCTGGCTCAGTGCATACTGATTACTGCTCCTCCTTCCTTAGCACCGAGCGATCTGAATCACAAGCACTCAAGGAGCTTTTTTTTTATACTTCGCCTTCACCTGAAACTTCTGCCTCATCATTGACATTCTTGCAGACTGCGAGCGCTGTGTCCGTGATTCGAGTCAACAACAGACCTGGCATCCAGTCAGCTGATCCACGCACCCATGCCGCCGGATCTTTCAATGTTCTGCGAGAGGATTAGAAGCGACCATTACTCCATCGCTATGCAAGACGATGCAGCTCTGGAGTGTAGTGAAGTGGAGAGAGCTCAATTGGATTATCAGATGTTCGTCAAATCTGCCGTGATGACCGCAGAGGCGGCGACCCTTGAGTTGCTGCGATAGCGCAGTAACTCAAGGGTCGCCGATCGTGATTGCCACAGTGGAAATCTTGTTCACTCTCTTGACTGGAAATCCAGAGCTCAGTTTGAATTTTGCCGTGCTCGATAATGATGCTCGACCCTTCGAGTGGCTTGTCTTGACCAAGAAGACAGATGTTCAGTCGTCATGTCGAGCAATCATCCAAGTCTTCAGCTGCAGACTTGGACAATTGGCAATCGTCCTTCCTCTTTACAAGTGCCCTGCCCGCTGCCCGCTGCCCGCGCTCGGAAAGCTCGCAAAGACAAGTTTGACACTTTGGGGTCGAGAGCTCTGAGCAGACACCGTTGAATTCTTTCGTGGAACATGAATAGTGCGAAGCATCAAGCAAATGCAATTTGCTCGATGGCGTCTTCCCATCCTTTTTTGTTATCTTCCTGTCCCTGAGTTGGGTTGGTTCCACTCCAACACGAGAGCTGCTCGCCACTTCCCATGGGTCTACTGCCCCGGAATCAAAACCCCAACATTCTCAAGTTCCTAGCCATTTGTACTCAGACTGCCACATGTTTGAAGAAATCTACTAGATTTTTTATATAATGTTGATCTATTCTACACACTTATTTTCACTGATCTTACGTTAGACATCATAATAAAAAATAATGTGACATATGTCGAATATAATACTTTTTAGACATACGATCGATTTGGAGCATATTTAGCCAACATGCAAAATTCCTAAATCAGTGGATTTAGTCATCTTACATTTTTATAGTCATATTTGAAAAAAAACATGGCATTGAGGAAATACATGGAAATTTAAGTAAAGTTTCTCTAGCATAAGTCCATCCATTTCAAAAAAAATCTCATGAAATCTATTTGAGTTAAATCAAATAAGATGTATTTTAGTATCGATACTGTACAAAAGAATAGTAATAATAAACATATTAATGTACCTCATACTGTTACGTTCATATTCAAGTGTATCAAAACATATTATTTTATCCAAAAAATTCAGAAGAAATAGAAATTATTTCTGGATGCATTTTTTTAAAGGAGATATTCAGTCTACATATAAGAAATTTCAGCAAGTTTCAGTGCTTAATTAGTTAAAGATTTTTGAATACTTTCAACAACTACATTAAAACATGATAGGGACGACTAGGGCCACACCTGCCCGCTAATTACCATGCCCATGCTTGTCAGTGGCCATTAGTGTCAGGAAACGAAGATGAACATCGAGAGGGTCATGGGAATGCGAAATCGGCCCAGAAATCTTTCCTCGGATGAGAGCTCGGCTACCCGTATTCAAGTCCCCCTCCTGCTACAAGGGGTGTCGTCATCGTCCACCCATCCGGGTCTGGGGACGACTAGGGCCACACCCGTTTTTGCTACGGCCAGGCCCACTTTTGAACGGGCGGGTGTGGCCGTAGCAAAAACGGGTGTGGCCCTAGTCGTACCCAACATGATAAACATCAAAGTCATTGATGAATTTAATTTCAAAACGTTGGCATAGTTGAAGGTTTAGACTTAGCTTATAATTCTTTTACTGACTATATAACATCACCGATTAATGTTGATTGTGATTAAAAAAAATTAACTTAGTGGATTTAATTTTTGGAATTTCTGTACTATTTAACGACGAAACATCTTTACTTTTTCAATTTACAAGCTTAGCCAACTTTATGTACTAATGAAGATCATGATTCATAAAACTATTGAACTTTTTGCAAGTTTCAATATATTTTCTCAAAACATCATTTGGTTATTAATGATATAGCAAGTAGAGTTATCAAGTAAATGAAAAGTATACCTTAAGCTATTGCTTGAGAAAAAAATGATCCATCTATTTATTGTAGTTGTATCAATGTAATCATAAATTTTTCTCTAAAATAATCATAATTGGATTTATTTTATATAAATTATATTAGATTAAAATTTTATGATAAATTTCATGTTCAAATTTATGATTTTTTCAAAACTTCTTTGCTCAAATGATCAAATTTCATCATCAAATTTTTGCTTAATTTTGATCATGGCATTTGAGATTCTTGCTGAAGATCATCATAAAAAATGGTTGCTATATACATACATATATAATGATCATTCACATTATTCAATTTTCTAACAACCTTTGTTTACATCCTAATATACCTAATGTTAATACTAGTTTATATCTTCTTGATGTTAAATAGTCTTTTATCTTGTAGTTATCTGTATTTATGTACATTACATCTTTCACACTTTTCAGCTAGTGTAATTCAAATTGCAAATTTTGTGATACGTTTATCATATATATTCACAAAAAATTAACAGAAAGAAGTGTGTAGATCTTACGATCTACACACTTATTTTCACTAATTCTTACATAATTTAAGTATTATTTTCAAAAAGTAAACTAGGTCATACTTGAAAACCTTTAATGACTATCTATCACCGACAAGATCTTCAATGTGATTGTACTTCATATAAACTTGACATTATTTTAATATGAAATACAGATTATCCACTAATCAATAGTATTACAGAATTTAATTTTTTTAACATTGGCCCTGTAAAAATCATCATGATCATACGATCACATGATGTTAAAAAACCTAACACTCAATCAACATACAATCGAAATACAGATAAATTTTTTTATGGTGATTTATATGGTATACTTATTTATTATGAAGCACTATGTGTATGCAAAACAACTATCAATAATAATGTACCTACACTCATATTTGAATATATACATAAAAGCAAGAATTAATACATCCATAGGAAAAACTGAAGTGATGTATGCTTGTTATATTAAATTTGTGTCAACAAAAAGAACATGTGTAGAATATAGAGTCTTCAAGGTAATCATAAATGTTTTTAACTGGAAGTGTTTAATGTCAGGAATTTATTTATTGGAATGTTTTATATCTCTGTAAATTTGTGGATCAATGGATGCATGTTGTAAAACTCAAAACTTTAAACTAATATAATTTAAGCAATTGTTAAATACACCACAGTTTATATTAAATACATCGCACACCACCAGCCAGCCCCGCACAACAACGCGTGCAAATGCCACCACCACACCACAAACCAACATATAAAAGTCAAATGTAGATTGAACTTATACTAAAATGTGATGTGTGTGGTGTATCTAGTAAAAAGTGTGGTGTATTTAACAATTTCCTATAATTTAAGAATGAAATATTTTTTTATATTTTTTTTATTTTTTAATCATTTTACATTTCTTAATGTAATATTGAAGTAATTTCTGTTTAAATTTTTGAAACAATAAATATATAAGATTTTTTAAAATTTTAAAATTCTTATTTCGATTAAAAAATATAATTAAGATAAAACCTATTTTTAATTATAGTCATTTAATCAGTCATAGAATTGTAAATAATCATTGCCTACTCTGGGCTAACCTCTATCCATCCCATTGTACCAAGCAATCAATCCAAAAGGAATGATGACCATACTCATTTACTATTAGAAAGTCTGTAATGATGTGTTTGCATGTCCACACCATAGAAAGTTCCCCACATGTTCATGAAAGATCTTAACGTCATTCACGAAAAAAGCCTGCCAAGCCAATGGAGATATTTACCTATTATATCTAGAGATATGTTCATTTTGAGAGTCTCAAAGGAAACCCTTGGGACTCCAAAGGAAATCAGACCCCACTGAGTCTTTTACGAGAACTGAGGATCAAAGTCCTGAGAGTTTTCCTCATTTTCTGTTGCTGAAAGATTGGATGGGCACGAGGTGGGGACAAATAAATACACACTGGGAACAACAACGGGACGATATATTTGCCCCCAAAAGTTCAAAGCGGAGAAGGCACGGACACATTCGGAGGGCAAGGATCTCGCCGGTCCGATTTTACTTCATGTAGCGTCATTCGACGGTATGCCAGTCGATGTGACATGAATGACCGACCCACTGGAGCCATGATCGCCCTCGGGGAGCCTGAAGATGTGCTATCTGGAAGACTGTCGGAGGGGACTCGAATCTGTCAAATGTAACATGTTCGTGTAACGTGGTCGACGATCGTCACAAGGTGCATGTCTGTGATGAGTGCCTGGAGACGTGCACTGCAATAGGAGGAGGTCTAGTGTGTATGCGGAACTCGCTTTGAGAGTCAAGTGCATCCAGTCGGATGAGATGAGAGTTGAGAGTCCCTCAGATGAGATGGAGTCACGTGGACTGCCTTTCCCCGGTGACAGTATCGACGAAGCGTACCACGACCTCGATCTGCTTTGGCCGTAGGAGGGTTCACTTTACAGCTTGCAGAAAATAAGGGTTTCTGAAATCCCCTGGCCCTCATTCATGGAAACAGCAAACCCTCAATCTGGCGGAGGGGCAATTCTGCCTTCGCAAAGCACTCTCGTGGCCATTTTAACTCCGGTCTCGGGAGGAGGAAGCCGTAGAAGGCGTACCGAAGTGAGCAGAATACTTTTGAATGATGTCATATTCTAGCGCGAGTACGGTCTCGTCGAGACGAGTAGTAACGATACACATGACAGGACGTGGTAAATTTATTGACACTCCCTGCAAATGAGTGCGGTGTGTAAGAGGGTGTCCAGAATCGACCACGATAGCGATCACTCAAGGCGGTGACCTGCGTGGATGTCCTGAATCCATGAGCCGTGAGCCATGTGCTCGGCTGGTAAGAAATACTTACACGGCACGTACGGCTGGGAACTGCAAGAACCCAAGAAACAGTATTCCTTGCTGGCGCTTTGCTCTGACCCGGAATGATCCTGACTACACGATCAAGTAATCTACGGAGACCTTGAGACTTCGGAGTTACTCAAAGCCCACCCCGCCGGCGTGCAAGAAGGAGCGGCCTGTCTTAGCAGGACTCGCAATCCAGTAAGAGCGGGACCAACTCAAGCAGAGATGCCGCAAGGCATGCGGCCAAATGTATGTCCGACTTTTCCTGGGAGACCTGAGCAAGTCTGTCGTTGAGGATCGTCGGGCAGGCCTTGGGAAAGGTGCAGTATAACGGGACATCGAATTCGTTACGACTGGGACCTTTCGTTGAGGCGTCCGAATCTTTACGAAAAGGACGATGTGACAATCTATGATGTTTCTTCCCGAGGGAACGACAATGGCCCCGATACCTGTGGTTGTGGGCAGTGAAAGTGCCGAGTAGTTCATTCTTACCGTGGACGCAATGTCACATCGAACCGCTTTTAGCAGCGATGGCGCATCGTTACCACGTCTTCGGGCCTCATGTTCGGGATGCGCGATAGGACTTCCGGTTTAGGGTGCTGGTACTGGCGGTGGAAGGCGCAAGAGAACGGACGTTCTGGTCGATACTTTCATGAGCGGTGGCGACATGGGGGCGAATGGTGCAGCGTCGAGTTCTGCTGGAAGAAGCGCCACCTCCGCTAGGGAGCCAATCTACTTGAATGTGTACGACCTTACACCGATGAACGGATACGTTTATTGGTTTGGGCTAGGCATCTTTCACTCGGGGATAGAGGTTCACGGGTTGGAGTATGGTTTTGGGGCCCATGATTATCCATCAACCGGAGTGTTTGAAGTGGAGCCACGTAACTGTCCCGGGTTCACCTTCAGAAGAAGCATAGTGATGGGAACCACGGATATGACGCGTCAACAATTCCGATCATTCATCGAAGCTTATAAGGATGATTACCGTGGAAACAGCTATCATCTCATTGCAAAAAATTGCAATCATTTTTCTAACGAAGTATGCTCGAAACTAACGGGACAAGAAATTCCCGGCTGGGTCAATCGATTGGCAGGAATAGGCTCGTTCTGCAATTGTCTTCTACCTGAAAGTTTGCAAGTAGCAGTGGTTGGTCAAACCGGAAGAAACGAACCGAAGATCCCGGAGGGTGAGAGTGATTTGCTTCTTTTGGCGTTACCTGATGGCGATACAAAGTCTCTCATGTCTGATCGTCGGTTATCGGGTGCCCATTGAGTTGCGTTACGGTGACAATCACTCCTTGTATCTGGTGATAAAGTGCAGTATATTTCTTCTCAAAGATTGCGGTGAAGGGAGAATCAGACCAGAGAAGAAGCGGATCGTGAGGAAACAACGGGATATTATGATGCTATGGAGCTTTGTTGGACTATTAGGAGGTATATACGTGGCTAAGTCTGCCGCATGCCATACTTGCGGCCTTAGCTCATTGGTTCTCCATCCGTCGGCGAAAGCACAGGGCAGGCCAAATTTCTGTTCATCACTTGTTTGAGTTGGTAGTGAGATGGACAGGACTAGATCAAGCTTTTGGAGGATTGTGTGTGCCCTCTCGAACGTTCCTCAACGTTGGGTTCGTGCTCCTTCTCCGGCCACTCAGTGATGTCAATGAATGACCACGTCGTGTATTATTTGGTATCATTGCCGAGATAGAAATACAAGACTACAGCTTATTCAAGTTCAGTGGCTGTCAGATTAGTTTTTCAGCTCTCTCCAGCGGTTCTGGGATCAGAGAAAACGTGTCAGTGGTCAACGAAGTTTAGAATTTAGGCCTTCTGAAAACGTGCCTAGTCTGTTATTCGATTATGTCTTTACACGAGGTTAGCGGGAAGCCACATGATCTGCCTGGAATTTGACTACTGCACCATTTCGGAGCTTCGTACGCCGAAATATCATTACTAGTTCACTGTATGGTAGCAATGTGCCCCGCAGGTGAATCGATGCACTTGCTACTGGGGAGTTCACAATTTGGAGATCATTGGGTACCTTGACCTAGATACGTGAGAGTTTGACGACCAAACAGTCAACGTGTTGTCTTCATCCCACTGTCGTGAAAGGCTTCCGGTCAGCACGTCACAATGGTGTATCCTCTCTGCTCAAATCTCCCGATGTGGAGACTGGGATGAGACCAAAGTCCTCATGCGCTTCAACAAGACATACTGTCAGATCAAAGAGCAGTCATGAAGACCACTAACTTCAAATTTAATTTGAAGTTGAAATGCTATGCTGGTGGCGAAAAGGTATACTGAGGATTAGAAGGACTCCGAGTGAATCGACCGAGTTGGAGATTGTGACAGCTACGAGAAGCCCTGACAATTTCAGTTTGTACGTCTCTTCCACGAATCCCAACAGAACTTTTAACGTCTGTTGAAACAACTTGAGCTTGTTCCTTGACATTGTCTCGTTGAAGTGAATCTGATTTTCCACCTCTTCCTTGCTCAGACCTTCCACCTTGCAACTTCGGTCAAACTTTTATTCCAGTCGGACGTTGAGGCTAGGGCAAATGTTAGCTCGATAAGCTGTGAAACTGAGTGTGGAATTCAGCCTCGCCACACTGATGTGATCTTGCGATTTCTGTAGTTCTCCCCTGTTTGCATGTCACATGTGCTTCAACGAAGCTTACATTGATGACAAGCAGATCATTCGACGTAAGGAGTAAATGTAAATACGATATCTGCGAGGTCATGTGATAGTAATTTAACATGTATTTACTTCTATCTGATCTACTGAAAAATGTTAGTGGATGAGCCGAATATATCTCGATTCAGTTTTCCAAATAGTTTGTGGAAAGTTTTCCATATTTAATCATGCACTGATGATAGAGTGTCGAAGGAAGTCTGTAGGCTAGATCGCACAAGCAACTGGAACGGCGTACACTCCGGGCATGCTATGTAAGGTGTGTAATAAATCCGCCAAGCAATGTGGCTTATGCGACTGAATCAAATCCAACTACACGCGCTATCAGCTTTCTTATGTTGTCTGAGAGTGAAAGGTTTATTCATATCTAGTAGAGACAATCTTCCGGTCATATGCTTGAAACTTTTCTCTTGCATATGACATCGAAAATCTCATGACATGAGAAAAAGACGCAATGATAAGTTGAGTCGCATTGAGAACTTTTAAGAATTTGCGAGGAATTTGAGATGCAGAATTTACGAATCTGCATGAGGAAAGATATGACATTTTTAAACAAGTAGAACTCAATTTATAACGTAAGAAATAATATCAATGCTCTGGGTTATTTAAGGAAGAAAAGTGATATATATATATATATAAGATGCAACAAGATGAAATCAATGAAAAAATGTCATGATAGTAAATAGATATGCATATTTTCTAATTTTGTATAATTCAATTAAAATATTTGATAAAATCCAAGCATCCATGTATACTATTTCTACAATAGAATAATGCTCATGTGGTGGTCATACACACGTACACTATATTGTATCCAAACTAGTCCATGTATATTTGAACAATCTAGTGGTAAATAAGTGAAAAGTGATATATATATATAAGATGTAACAAAATTATGAAGTCTATAGAAATATTGCATCAATGGAAGATATCATGATAATAAATAGATATGCATATTTTATAATTTTGTACAACTCACTTAAAATATTTAATAAAATCCAGACATCCATGTATATTATTTCTATAACATAATAATGCCCGTGTGGTGAGCATCGTACACACGGACACTATATTGTATCCAAACTAGTCTATGTATATTTGAACGATCTAATGGAAAATGTGAACCATTTGGACTGAAGTGTAAAAGGAACAAAATTAGAAGATGATGATAATATATTCAAGGGTGCGGAGTAAAGGTTACATAGGTTACTTTCCGACCTTTACTCGTTTCACTAAAAGAACATTAACGCTACATACTATGATGAGGAGAGTCGTTGATTGCAGTCATGTTGCATAATGGAAGCACACAAATTGAAAATTACGGTTGATACTTCATTAGTATAACAATAAAACTTATACAAAATTAATCAACGTTTATTTTCATGAAAGATGTGAAACTCTTACTTTTTGAAATGTCTAATTTTTTTATAATGAAAATAGACATCGTTAATGCAAAATTGGTCAGAAAAAAATATAAGAAAATGTAGAAAATGATATTTCTGTCAACAATGTTTCATTCTAGAACTACCATGTATGAAGCAGTATGGTCAGTTGTAGGTCAAGAATATTATAAATGTATTTCCGAGAAAAATTTATAACGCTAAAAAGTAATTGACTTAATTAGTATAAAAATATTTATGTTTCACAACAGTTCATCTTTCTTGATTTAAATTTCATACCTAGAAAAGATATGAGTTTATCTAAAATTTTGTGAAACATTTATGGGTTTGATAATACTATTTTGGAATTTATACAGTAATGATAGTAAATAGTGAAAAACTTCCTGAATCACGAACACTTGATTAATTTCCAATTAGCATATGTGTATATAGCTTGATTAAGATCAATATTAATTGATCACTTGCAATTTTCTACAAATTTGAACAAGCTAGAGGTGTAAGCAATTCATGTTAGAGAGATAAAGTAATTTTTGCCATTCAACATATTGCTTTCATGATGCATCAAAGTGTTGAGGTTAATTTTGTTTGAGGTGTAACATCAAATTCTAGCTATTTAGAATTAGGTTTGTTGCCGATGTTGGGTATATATATATCTCAAAAAATCTCCACTATACCACTATTGTTTTTCACTATTGTAGTTAATTCACTCGCGTGTGCTTTCCTATGAAGGGTGAATCACATTATACGATATGTCCCGTGTGTTGGCGATTGGATGTTGTGTTTGCTAGGCTTACTCACTATTGATGATTCTTGGTTTTAACCTTGATAAATGGTATGTTCTATGGTTGCGTTTGTTATGACATTGTGTGGTAGGTTCTCTGTCGTCTAACTCGAAGACAAACTTTGCTGACGGTTTTTTCGCCAATGACAGTTTTCCAGAAGGTGCAGTTGTTTGCTGGTGACCGTATTCATGAAGTTCGAGTGATAGTCTTTTCCGAGAAGTCTCGAGGTGAATATATGGAAGGCGGATTTCGACGGATTTTTTCTTTCAACAAACAATGACAGTTTTTTAGCAACACTTCAAGTACAGAAAGTTGAGTTTGCAGCTTGAGAATAGTTCATATTCAACTTGGAGTTTGCTGAGTGAGATTTCAGCTTGAGAATTTAGAACTTCAACTTCATATCAAAAAACCTCAAAGGAAAAACAGTGATAATTTGGCGAAGTTTTTAAAACAATTTAAGGTGTTCGTTCAGTGTTTTTTCTAATGATAGTCAAGGAAATTGAAGTAGAGAGAAGTTGTCAGAAGGTCGTGTGGCGCAGTGCTGAGACTTGAGCCGGGGATGAGCCAACACTCTGAACAGTACACAACAAGAGGAGCATGAAAGCTCTAATCGTATTGAAACTCCTGATGTTAATAAAGGTGAGGAGCAGAAGGAGTTCATGAGTGCTACCTCTACATCAAAGGTGAATATAAATTTTTTGGAGTATGATAGGGAGCGTCAAGAGTTTTTAAAAGAAAGAGATCACAACCTTAAATGGACTCAAATGAGAGCGTTAGAAAAAAGACATTTGAATTAGTGACTATCACAGAAATTTGAAATGGAGGTTAGAATACAGTTCCACAATGCATAGCTAGCTACATCATAAAAACTGCTTTCTAGCACTTAAATTGATTCAAATCACACCAATGTCCTTCGTCAAAGTAGAAATTCTGGGGAGTAACAACACATGATGTTGAGCCTAGGTTCAAGCAACTTTCATTCAATCCATGAGAAGTCAACTTCTCGGCGAAACAAAACTGCTGTGAAGGAGGTGATAGTCAAGATAGACTGAAATAGCACAAAACAAAACTGTTATGAAAGAGCTGAAAGTCGCGAAAGATTGAAAAAACACTATGAGTGTGATCGTAGTATAGCATAGCTTTGCTTGTAGCGCATGTTTTTTCTTGTTCTTGTTGTACACAAGAGTTTGTAGTCGGATAGGAGAGGTTTTGATTCCTTTGTTTAAGTAGATTTGTGCTTTCAAAAAAATTGTGAAGTGAATTGGGATTTAGACTAATTATTGGTTAAAAGTAGAATTTTGGTTTGGGAAATTTAAAAGCAGATCTAAGAGTAAATTCTATCTTGAAAGTTTGAATTGACACAAAATCTGACGTTTGATTGAGACGACAAACATCAATGAAATTGATCTAGACAAACTGGACAAAACTGGCAACAAATTTTGATAGACCAAAATAGTAGATCAAACACAAAGTTGACACAAAGGAAGGCGTGCGAAAGTCATATGATGATTGAGCGAGTCATTGAAAAATCAGCAAACGAGAAATTGATTGATTTATTTCTCAAAACATTGATGGATCGCGAGCGCGGACGGAAATCAACGAAAATTTTTTGGCCAAAATTTTAAACAAAAGACTCAACAACGGCGAAAAACATGCAAAAATTAGATAGGAAGTCGTGTAGACGTGCGTCAGGTTGGGCACAAGCGCAAGATCATCCGAAGGCACGCGAGACCAAACCCAAGAGTATGCGGATCAAAGCACAATCAAGAATATGTCAAAAAATTTGTCAAATATTATCAAACTTTGATTTTTGTCGAATGTCTGATTACTATCATACTATAAATGTCTGATTTATGTCAAATTCGACAGATTTGTATCGAAGTGCAATAGAAGCGGGCGAGGCGCACCGCGCATTCGTCTTCCCGTGATGCGGTATCCTTCGGCAACACATGTTGCCGTCTATGAACGACACGTCTGTGTTGCAAATATGACATGTCATATAAACTCGACGTCAAGTCACCCTTGTTCAACGCCACATCACATTAGCTTAGCATCACATTGCACAAGCACAAGTACAACAATTTATACTTGCTCGATAGCATCACTATTTGTGAAGAAGTTAACTTTACCAGATCTTGCGTTAAGATGTCTCATGTATGAAATTCCATACTAGATCATATGAATCATAGATACATGTACTTTTTTATGAGAAAAAATTGTTATCAGGTTTAGGTAAAGTTGACTTAGCATTTTTTGAATGTTGTATTATGAACAAACAACATAAGCGGACTTTTAGTGTTGGAACTCATAGTTCCACGGAGGTACTGTAGTATATACATAGTGACGTGTGGGTACCTTTTCTTGTTGTTCTTTCTAGAAAACTATATCTTGAAGGGTGATAGTCATGACCTTAGGTGTACTTGAAGGGTGCCTTGGCCTTAGGGATCCTTGAAGAGTGCCCTAACACCGACCATGGTGTTCTGCCACTCCAGTGTGGAGCAGCCTACACCGTCGTACATAGTATTTCGTCTTAGTTTTGGTGCAGTTCTCAGCAAACCAATGGATTCAACTTTCAGCATCCACTGCCCTACATCATGATGAGTGTAAGAGGTTATGTGCCCACGCCGTTGCTACAGAAATCATTGAATCCTCTGAAGTTCAATCAGAAGACGAATCTGAGTCATAATTCAAGATATATGACACCGATATAGATAATGGTGGTAGTTTTGATGGGGGAAATGTTTCCAGTTCAAAGAATATCAAGTTGTTTGGGCGCCTTCACAATGAGACAACAGTCACAGTCTCTTCTACATCTTTCCAATTACCTCCAACTCTGAAGCTCAAGGGCGAGGAGAACTATCTTGTATGGAAGATCATGATGATGAATTTGGCTACATCGAATGGTCTAGACAAGTATATCAATGTCAGAGCTTACAAGAATAAGCCAAGCACAATTTAGTGGGATGATGATGAAGCATCTACAGAAGACTACAACAAATGGGAGAACTAGCGCCAGGAAGATTCAAAGATGAAGATGGCTATTCAATTCAATTGTTCATCATCTCCAGCCCACCTCGTTCACGCTAAGACAAATGCCTTAAAGACTCTTCTCAAAGACCATAACGAAGATGA